GTGATGGTGTTCCAGTCAGGCCTGCAAGTGGCTACGTCAGGCACTATTGAATGGATGGAGCGGTGGGATTGCGGGTAGTTGTACAGATCTGCATAAGTTGCTTTGATGAGTCAATTTCCTGCTTCATGTCATTTTTTTTTGAATTAGTTTGCTATTATCTGCTGCAGTGATGTGCTTCATCTACTGTTTCGCAAAGATGCCAGTTGTAAAGTTGAAGGACCCTCCAAATGTTTAATGTCGCTGTCGCTCTCTTATAGTGAGATTGATTGTCTATAAATAGTTTTTAAAACATTTGGTTTGATCTAAAATAAGTGGGAAGTAGTGGCAATGCTGGTAGATTTCACTGCTAATAAAATCGCCAAGTCGGAAACAATGGCATTTAATGTTCTGTAGTGTTTAGTTTATCCTTATTTGCATCTTCTTTGCAACTAGACAGGCAGAAAAGTCAAGGGGCTATTTTCGATTATGTAAAGTGTATTTAAGAGACTTGGTAGTCTGTAGCAGTCCAGTTTTTCCCTGTAATGTTAAGAAGTCCCATCGATACGGGGGACGACTTATAGAGAGCTATAGAGAGCTGAAATGATTTAGGCAGGGTCTTGACTAATTAAATAGAGGTGGCTGGAACAACTAGTTTTAACATCGCCAATTCCAGTCTTTTTCAAGCGTAACGATATCTAAGGTAGTAGGGACAGAATTGTCCCTTTTTCGCCAATCTTTAAATAGGGCGCCGTGGGTTCTCAGACCGTCGAGATACGTTGGGAAACCCGAAGACTAGGTGATAGCTTCACAGATCAAATTGCAGTAACAGCGGTGGCAACTGATTTATGTAATGCTTAAATGCGGAGAATTGCAAGTGTCTCACAAGGCGTAATCACTCCTGAGGACTGCAACCCAACAAATCATTCGATGTCATACTGGAAATCACTGCCAGTCAAGGCAACTCGTTGAAATGCACTGTAAAATTGCAACACCACCCAGAAGTAGGTGAGCATGTGCATGTGGTTAGGAACGAGCAGCGACTGATGCATTCGCAGCATCGTGGGAGTCTGCTTTGGAAAAGGTTTTGCTGGGACGGCACTTCGTACTAGCTCATGCAAAATTTCCAGCATGGACTACGGTCATGTAAAGGAAGACAATTTCAAAAGTAACGGAGGTCAGTGCAGATTCGCCAGTTGAAGGCAGTGCTTTCTTTCTCCTCTATGTAAAAAGACATTCGAATGGGAAAATGATTCTGCAGATTTTGTAGTTGAGCAACCTTAGCTTCTTATGCTATGTTCTCAATAAAATGTCTTTAACGTAGGAGAGGATGAAAGCAATGTGTTGACTGGCGGATCTGCCCTAACTTCGGCAACTTTTGAAATTGTCTTCGTTTGCCTAGCTGTAGTCCATGCGAAAACATTTACGTGAGTTAGTGCGCGAACAACCGACGGTTTCATTCACGTGGATATCACGCCCAACTGGCTGTGCTTACCCAGCAAATCTCTTTCCCTCCACAGGCTTGTGTAGTGAAGGGAATGTATCAGACACCAAACAGTTTTGTTCATTTAGCAACAACTATGACTCCCCTAATAGTGGAAAACTGTTGACAATCAAATGCACAAATTTGTCACTTTTACTTCATTTGAATGGAAATGACTGTACGATGGTTGAAGGTAAAGCAGTAGAAAAAAGAAAGAAATTCACGGACACAACAAGCACTACTACTTGTCAAATGCTTCTTCCTTTACGCTGATCAGGGTGAGATGTTAGAAGGCATCTTAAAATACAATTTGATAGATATGATGTATGAACAACGAATACGGGGTGGTTTTTTGTCCCTTGAAGTGTTTTCAATGATACAGATCCATTACAGATTGGGTAAAGGCACCCATGTTCAGTTCCGGTTGTCACAAATTACATAGTGTTAATTTTTTCTGACAGCATTGTCTTCTCAATCTGATCAAGGAAGACGCAAAGTTTTCGATGCAATATTCCCATTTACTGAATGACCAACTGAAGAGGCAGTCATTGCTTCGCACAAAGAAATGCAAAGGCGCAGTTTTCCATCGTCATTAGTTGTGACAAACGTGGAAAAATTTCAATCAAGGAAATTATGCATTCGAACAGGAAATTGCCCATATGGAAGGGCATATAAGTGTCGTGAAATTAAGCTCAGTGAGCTTGATCATGCTAACGGACCGGACAAACCTTGCAGCCTACATGCATTACAAGCAAAATATTACAATTTCTAGCGTTGATCTGGTCTAATTGAAGACCCTCTGCACAATGCAAGAGACACCGAGCGTATGTGCAAATACTATTGGCCAAAAGAAAAGCGGCCACACGAATAGGACCGCATTAAGCCGCCACAATTACCTGCTTTGTTGCCTTAAGTGAGGGCAGTTCCAAGCACAGTGGCAACGTTGTTCTCCTGTTCCGCATTGGTACGGCCTAGTAGCAGTTGCAATGATCTCTGCAACCATCAAAGACCCCTTCAGATTTGGTGCATATTTCTTTGCAGTTTCAATTTAGCCAAAAATTCCAGCTTTTGAATAAGCAGCTTAAACCAACTTAAATCTTTTTGATAACAGGTAGCGCTAAATCAACCACCTGCTAAACACACCAGGACGCGCAGCGACTGCATATCAGTTACGGATAAAGCGCTGCTTCGGCTGCTAATTAAAACGTATTGTATAAATTCCTACTTCGCTAATTGTTAGATTTGATAACTAATCGTGCAGTTATTGGCAGCAACCTTAATTGTGAGATTAAAAAATTCATTCCTAGATGACAACACAACATACCAATCTCTGATGTAATGCTAATCAAAAAGGCAAATAAAAATCTCACTAAAATATGGTGGTGCACGAATAATAAGTGCCATAATGTAAAAGTGAGTCTTTTTTACTAGACTGTAATACCATCAAAAAAGCACATCTCCCCCAGTTTATTATTTTCTGCCCAAATCACCTAAAATATATTTTCTGTAACCTTCTTGGTTTGATAGTCTCCCTTCACCTTTTCACCTTTGTTAACTGTATAAATATAAAAGAACACGTGCGCTATCCAAATCCGTTTAGTGCTCTATACCTATACCCATTTTTTGATTACAGACTCCTTACTAAACTGGATAAAATTTGGAAATTCCCAGGCTGTGTAGCGTCCCAGGACTTTCTTGAAGACGAAAGCATGCATAATGCCCGAAAGAAAAATGTAATGCCAACTTGTAGAAGGGCTTGGAAGCCACTGGCAAAGCCGGTGGCTATGCCGCCTTGCGGGGTTACAACGGCAGAGCTCCTGTGTGTAAAGCAAGCAGTGAAAGCTTTACAGGTGTTAAATTGTTACCAACATAAAAGTAGTACAATCCGGGAATTTGTCCGAGAACTCAATCTAAGAATTTCTCATTATTTCTCCTCAAATACAAATTTACACTATCTATGATTTCTGGCAATTGGCATATTATAATCCAAGAAAAAAGCGGGACATTTATAAAAATATCCTGTACAGAATGTACTTTCAAGTGCAGCACCGGAAACCACATGCATTCTCTTGATTCCCCTATGGAATCTTGAAACGTCACGGCAAGATGACGAAAAATATATTTCCCTCTAACAAAGGCGCTAAGAGGCTGCTGGCATGCTCCGAAGGCCACGTCGACCAGCTGAAGTACAAACTTCCAGCTGAACCAACTACTGAAGCACTACGCATAAACTGCAGTAACCTTAAAGCCTTCTTTTTGCCGAACGAATGCATGACATTCGTAACAAATATTACTACTTTCACTCAGTTGTTTGTAAGTAACCAACTGGTTTATTTTGATGAAAGTTATCATCGAGCCAAATTAAGGCAAGAAAAAGGTAAAGCTATTGTCCCTAACAGACGTTAGGAATTGTGGCAAACTTCCCTCTGCATACATCTTAAACCTATCCACACGTTTTTTCATCATCAATACATAGAAAACCGACATACATTTAAAATACCTTCACCCAATCTGGTTCACGGTTTTGATTTTGGGGATTCTACCTTATAACCATGAACTTCCAACTCACTTGTGGATAATAAGTGAAAATTTCTCTAAATAATGTTAAAAATTAAACATCCGTAGGGAGAAACTAAGACCGGATAGAAAGATTTAGTTCAAAGATTACGCAGACATAAGTGACTTCAAGGGAGTTGATTAGGCTTGGGATACCTATGTCCAGTCAGAGAACCCATTGTGGTGTGATCGCCGATGGTCAAAATAGTTTCTTCAGCATTCAGCAGACCTCAGGGCAATAGAAAATTGCAAATCGTGGGTAGTTGATGACCAAACTTGGCCGCATGTTTTGCATCCATCCTGTATTGTGCTCTTGAGTAAATCCCTGTCATATTACAGACTCATAGCATGGAATGTTGATTAAGTGGGATAAACGTGATCTGACTCAGTTCTCAAATCGCTGAATGTAACTCCACGTTGAATTTGCCCCATAGCATCTGGTGAGGTTCCTGAGGGTGGCAATGGAACCCGCCAGCCAGAATTGGTCTGCGCACACCTCATTCCTCTATTGTTTAATGTCACATTTGCCTAGGAAACGAGATAGCTTCGGTTTATGCGGCATGGGATTCAAAAAAGAGTGCCACACCGAGAGACTGACTCGTCTACAACCAGCTATTGCAGAGAAAATAACGAATAAATACTTCGGTCATTTGGTGCTACTTATATCTAGTAAGTAGCTATGAGCTAGTCCAAACATTGTTTACTATGGAAATGCCATTTTTTAAATCTACGATTATATGACCACCACGATTCAATTCGTAAACATTTCTCTACCGCTTTGAGATTTCCTAGAAGTGTTAGAAGGAGTCGTAAATGCAGTGAAAGATTGTGCCCTTCCCTTTAGCGCCGAGGCAACCAATCATGACAGTATCCATTATATCATTAAAAAGTGACAGAAAAGCGTCACTTTTGGTTCAAATTATCGATTGGCTGATTACGTGGACGGCCTTCAAGGAGGCACTGACCCACTGCAGATCTTGCAGGTATGCGCGATCAGCTGCCGTTTAGGCGTGTTTTTACACACAACAACTGTGTCCAGTGGTTCCGTCCCATCAAGAACATTAACAATCGGCATATTTTAGAGGACATTTTTAAAGAGATGACCTATGGAAATGAGAATGAGGTCAGAACTGCCTACCTAGCCGCAATGGATATAGTTAGATTTTCAACTAGTGAGGCGTTGCTTGTCTTTCTGCAGAATGGAGGATTGATAGCTCTCAAAAATCTCATCAACAGTTGCCACCTCGGAAATCGAGGTCAGGCGACATTTGGATTGGCACTTAACATTCTCGAGGGCCTACTCGCTGTCAGTGCTGATGTCAGGGTCTACCTCCTCCGGTATTGGGACATGCTGTTACGTCCAGTTAAAAAGTCTTTTGCGCATTTTCAACGCACCTATGGATGTACGGATGTAAAGGGAAAGTTAAGCCCATTCGGCAGTAGGAGTGAGTTTCCAGACATGTGTGCACATTTCTACCGATTTCGACTGGAGGAGAGAAACAACTCACACCGACTACCTCCAGACCATGATGTTGGCCTCTTCTCCGAGTACTTAAGAACTTTGGAAATCATAGTTCACACAGCTCCTGACTCAACTCCAGCTCTCTTGAAGAAGGTGTTTCTAGCTAATAAACGCCTCGATCCCTTCCACAAAAGCATCAAGGACTTGAACTTGCGTGTCCCATCCAAAAAAGCCGATTTCGTGTATGGTCCAAGGGTGGATTTGATCCGCCAGGAGAGTTTGGGCACACCCCTGAAAATTGTGCCTTACCTCAAGTTCTTTTTCAAATTGGAAAAAGCAAATTCAAAACAAGTGGATAAGACTGAAGGTGGGGGTGGAAAAACTACTTCTAAACTGGGCGCTAAGAAATCCGAAATTGCTGATGTTGAGGTGACGTGTTTTGACACGATGAAAGGGATTGCTCTTGAACCACCACCAGTGGAGGAGCCGAAAGCACCTCAAATGAAGTTTTGTCAACAACTGGATGACTCAAACCGTCTAGCAGCAGTTCATGTGTTGTCACACACGACTCCGTCTATTGTGGCTCTCACAAATAAGAATCCGCTTTTCTGTCCATCCGTTCGAAAGCTGATTGATCCTACCGGCAAGTTGGAAGACACTGCCTTGAAAATTATGAAGTTTAAACCTCCCAAAATTGCTCACGAAATCTAGTGGAGAAAATGCCAATGACCAGAAAATGAACGAAAAAATTAATTTAAACTTGCGGATCAGTGGTATTAACTCGGCCTATGGAGATGAGTTGGGCAAAATTTTTCACATGTGCCTGCCCCGGCTAAGTTCGCTAAAATCTGCCAAAGCAACCGAGGAAGTGGTCTGGCCTTCTGATCAAGGAGTCGAGGAGGACGACAGTCAGGGCTCGTTGGAAAACCCCAAAACTCCATCATCGGGCGAACGTGTAGCGAAGGGCTCCTTTGACATGAGTATCGTAAACTCGGTTGAGAGTTATACCGATTATCTGGATAGGGCGTCAATTCAAACAGTCGATGATTTGGCCAGAATGATAGTTCGAAAAGCATTGTTTGGAATACTGGAAAAACCTATGCCTGATATAGAAGGTGATGTGGCCAAATTGTGTCAAGATTTCTGCGAGCGGAGCGGCTATTCCAAATATTCTCTCGATAGTCTAGCTGAAGCCATCGTCGACAAGGTGCTAGCATGTCTCACTAATCCAATTACGCCACCATCATTTGATCGGACAGTTGAAGACGAAATTAAACACACCATTTATCAATGTTTGCGTGGTGAACAGGAGGAATGTAAGTGGAGTAAATTGCCAAAAATTAAATCGTCACAAGTGGGAGGTAGAACAGTCACAAGGACATCGGAAAATACGCAAACTTTACCGGTTCTAAGCTTCCGCAAAACGCTCCAGAGGACTGATAGAGACAAAGTAATCGGGGAATTGGAGCTGAATTCGGAAAACGAAGACAAGACCAGATCAAGCATTTCTCTCAAAGATAAGGTGAGCCCGCTACCTGGGACAAATACTACACTGGAGACTTACCAAGAAACCGAGACGCGCCAAGACGGTGGAGGCGGTCAACCACAGGGAAAAGACACTCAGCCTGTGAAAGACGTCCGTAGACGTCAGTCATTTGAGGGCAGTGAAACAAATGTTCAGAAGCCAATGTTTCCAGCCTTGGATGGAGGTTCGAAGTCGATCGCTTCAATGTCTCAAGATGGTGGCGAGGGAAAGGTTGCTTTCCGACTGTGCGGACAAAAAGATCGGGTTGACTTTGTGGACAAGAAGAGAACGGTAGCAATCAGCTGCAGCACGGAACCGTCGGTATGTCGAATTCTGGATCATGTGTTTACAAATGTGGCCGAGCAAATTTCTACCCAATTGGAGGCAACTCAGAATGCACGTTCAAGTGCGGAATGTAAGGAAGTTGAAGTGAATCAGCAAGCGCTCTATGTTGTACAACGCGTCATCTCTAATTTAGCCATTCAAATGTCAGCCGCATCGACTAGAGCTTGCGAATCGTTGGAAGAAAGTGAAGCAATTAAGAGACGAGCCACTAGCATAGGTAGACGAGTTCTATCTCACCCTGACATTTCACCAACTTTTCGTACTTCTGACATTGATATGAGGAACAGGGCGATGTGTATCGTAAATAGGATTGTATTAGGTGCGTTGTATGAGCTGTCAAAGGGTCAAAACAGCAGCAATCAGAATGCCTTGCAGGAGGAAGAAGAAGAAGAAGCTGATGCTCCAATTCCCATTGTTTGGCGGCCACGTGGAATATCATTGGCGCGTGCATTTAGAACAGGAAGACTCGCAACCTGATTGGTCGTTTAGCCTGACAATCGTTAATGCTAATCAAGGAAAGCATAATCGACTGACTGGCTAAAATGCATGATTTTGTATGTCATTTCGTATTTGAAATAAAAAGGCATGATTAATAAAGCTGGTTTGCTAATAATCTGGGAAAGGTGTGTGAAATGAATTTAATTTGACTTATTTCATGCCATCGCAAGGCGAATGGACGATTTGTTACTAACATAAACAAATCCCCTTCTCCAAACTCAACCTAAAGCCTTCTGTAGCTTATTAAACAAAAGCAAGTTGATGCTTACTAGCCCTTTAGTGCTCATTTTCTCATAGTATTCTTGCTTTTTACAATGTCTTTTTTCTGCTTTGTTTTAATCACTTTTGGTCACATTAGTGAGAGGCAGCTACGCTGGCCCCACCTCTGATCTTTCCGATAATCCCTAGGGCTCCACTTTGCCCTTGCATGGCTATCAATTCGCTAGAAATGTAACGAAGTAAAACCGGTTTCCTGCTGTATTTTTTTGTTCTTATGCACTCAGGCTGGAATTACATTGCTCCCCAGAGCCATAAAGGCTTACGAGTAACATCAGGAAAAACTCTTTTTTGTTAAAACATCAAACCTATATCGTGTCTGTCTAGAAGCTTTGCATATGGTTGAAATTCAAAAGTACACTTTACGTTGGTGTTGACCTGCCTGAAAAGAGGTTTTGCAGTAAGCAGGTCAAGGGCTGTTTCAACAGCTGTTATGTCTGTCATTATTCTGCTTGATAGTCGGTTTGCGTATTTGGGAGCGCCGTCTCGCTTCGGTCCCATCGGGCATCCAGTCACCGCCGTTACCGGGATGGACCCATCTACCCCGAACCCCTCCCCCCACTTTATTAGCCAACCTCAAACGTTGTTCTGAGCGTGGCTAAGGGATGAATCCCTAACCCGCTGCGCGGTCCCCAGCTTCATATTCTCACTCATAACTACTTCTTCAAATATCCCATACCATCCATTACGGTACACTGGCCTTTCCAATCGGTCTAGTTGGCCTAATTTGCCAAAGTGAAATCCTATTGTAATACTTATGTTGTTTTAATGTGCCTTTCAGGGAGGAGGCAATCAAGAAATTCGAACCTTGTAACCAGATCGTCCTCTCCCCTAACCTGTGACTGCGGCCCCACTCCTTCTTAAATATTGTATTTTCCCTATCCATCTTGTCACCTTTAATAAAGATGTCCAAAGCAAATCAACCGGGCTTGTCTAGGAACGCTAGGAATTGGGAAGCGGAGACCGAGGACCCTCGCTCCACACTGTTACCTCTTATGGATTAGTGCCGAAGGTATGAGACATTCGGTTTGCCAGGCGGATTAGGTTTCATTTTTTGTATTTTTTTCGGCATGGGTTAAATGGCTACTAGACTACTCCTTTATTTTGCAGACATGCTTCTTCACTTTATCAAGTTTAAGACACATTCACTGGGTCTTGCTTGTAAGCCTTCAAAAAAAAGGATGTTCATCCATACTTTAATTGCATACCAGGCTTCAAGCTTAGTTGCTCTAAGCCTGACCAGCGGCTCTTACCGAGAATTGTATTAAGTGAAAGGCGGGATTCGTTTTGCTTGCAGGTATTTATCTCTACGTAGAATAGCACCAGTTTGTTGCTGCGTAGCGAATGCGTGGTGGTAGGCACCACATGGGGATTCCACATTCGAGCTGTATAGGATAATAAAGAGAGCATTTTCTTATTAATTTCAAGAGGTCACACCAGTTTTTTGTTTAAATTGACATATACAAAATGTAACAAATGTAGGATATTTTTATTATTGCTACAAGTATTGACTTAATTACAGCATAAATAAGGCTTACTATGACAAATAGTCTTTGTCCGTATATATTTTAGTTTGTGGTAAACCTAGTTTCTAATAATGGATCGCTTGTTATAAAATCTGTGTTTTCATGCCATTTTTTCGTTACTGCGGAGTATTATTAGGTCAATTGTCACAATTGTTTATTCACATCAAGGATGAAATGTGATGGTACTGCGGTGAAATTGTGCTGTTAAAGAAATGGTATGCGATTGGTATTTGTCTATACGCTTTTTAGCGGAGGAGTCATGCTCCAAGTCAGGTTGCAGTGCGACCTTTAGGGTGTGATTTTGAAGGAGAGGTATTTTTGATTGCCTCCTTTACCTGCGCTTTAGCCGTCTATTAAGCGAAGAAATACAGTGAAGTCCAACACTACGGACTTTTCCTACACACCAAATACTTACGTTTCCGAATACAGAAGACCACTCAGTGAAATTAATAAGTCTAGTGGTGCTCGTTGTGAAGATGGTGTTCATGTATTTCATTCCATTGTGTATTACCCACTTTAGGAAGCATTAATTCGGGCCATTCTTACAAAACCTTTTAAAATTCCAATCCCAAATTATCAACGTACTCCCGATTACATAAGAATAACATTTAGCTAGTGGATATGAGTCCAAATGTTTGGGTCTAAAGCGCTCTTTGGCGAAAGTCGCTCTCCATGATCCCTTCGAAACGAATGCACTTGTTCTCTATGAGCCACCAGAATTAAATGCCCATGAAAGCTTAAAATCCGACTCGTAATCTTCAATTTCGGTAATTTAATTTGTTTTAGGGACAAAAGGTTGGTCCATGTTGTTGTGGATCCAATCCTCTCCAAATTTCTCCGACCTCATCAGAGGGAAGTAAGTTATTCGATTTCGAATAAATATCGTTGAAGGGAGTCAAATTTATGTATGATTGCGTCACTGGTGTCCAAATTGCTGACAACTATGGGTGCATTATGGCTGACGAAATGGGTTTAGGAAAGACGCTGCAATGCATCACTCTTGTATGGACTCTTCTGGTATGGCGTAAATTTGCAGCTTTAAAAATTTCACTATCGAGAGAATTGCAATTTTTTGTGGTTTAGCGACAAAGTCCAGAGGCGAAACCGATGATCGACAAGGCTGTCATCGTCACACCAAGTAGTTTGGTGAAAAACTGGGCTAATGAATTGAACAAGTGGCTGCAAGGTAGAGTGAATCCTTTAGCCATTGATTCCGGCTCTAAGGATGAAATAGATAGAAAATTGGGTAAGCGATCCATTTCTGATGTAGGTGCTTTAGCCGCGTTCATGTCGCAGAGGGGTCCAAGGATAGCTACTCCGATTTTAATTATCTCCTACGAGACGTTTCGATTGCATGTAGGGGAATTGCACAAGGGTACTGTAGGCTTGGTTATCTGTGATGAGGTAGGGTGATACATTGCTTTATTCCTCGCCTACTTTTAAGGGTCACAGGTTGAAGAACTCAGAAAATCAGACCTACCAGGCACTGGTTCAGCTGAACTGTCAAAGAAGGGTTCTCCTCTCGGGTACTCCAATTCAAAATGATCTTCTGGAGTACTTCAGTCTGGTACACTTTGTCAACGTTGGCCTTTTGGGGACTGCAGCAGAGTTTCGGAAGAAGTTCGAGACGCCTATTTTGCGTGGCAGAGACGCGGACGCAACTGATGCTGAACAAAAGGTCGGGGAGGAGAAGCTACGAGAGGTTTTATCCGCTTGATTTTGCCTAACATCTCAACTTCTAGCTCCTTGGTATCGTCAGCCGGTGCATTATACGACGAACTCAGGCCCTGTTAACTCAATATCTCCCTGTTAAAAGTAACCTCCGTTTTAGGTTAACGCTTCTTTGCTAGTTGAACAGGTGGTGTGTTGTCGATTGGCGCCGACTCAAGCTCAGGTCTACGCGGAATTCGTTAAGCGAATGGCTCGTGAAGTTTCTAAACAGTTAGGTGGAAGCGGGGGAGGAGGAGACAAGAAGCTCTCTGTCTCTAGTCTCGCCTCAATTACCCATCTCAAGAAACTGTGTAACCGTGAGTTGCTGCTAGACATCCTTAACTTGCCTAGTATTCCCGAATTTGTCGGTGGTATCGCGTGTATCAACTGGAGTTTGTTTGATAACAGCGTAACTTTTGTGTTTTACTTTGAAAGGCTTAATTTATCCAACTTTGGCTGTTTAACATTGCTCTTCCATTATGGTTCCTATTACTACAAGTTATTGCTATTTGTTTTCCTCTTGACTGATTCATTTTGATTTGCCTAGATCCTGATCTAATATTTGACAGGATACGCTCCGGTTCTGACAGTTTTGGGGGCATGCTTAGCTTCTTCCCTAGTGGATACGCCAGTTGTTCCGAATCCGGTCGGCCAGCTCAGCCGGAAATGTCAGGTAGCTGGTTTTATTTAAGTAATACCTTCTCTCCCTCACTCTTAAGGTAAATTTCAGGTGCTCGACTGTCTGCTGGCAATTATTCGAACCACTTCGAATGATAAAGTGGTGCTCATTTCAAACTACACCCAAACGTTGGATCTGTTTGAAGGTCTCTGCAGGCATAGAAAGTGTGTTTCTCACTTCCATGGATATTTTCCTCGTCAATGATGCAAATTACTATCTTTTTACCTTTTGTTTTTCAAAAAGCTATGGATACTTTCGGCTCGATGGAACGATGTCCATTAAGAAGAGGGCGAAGATTGTTGAGAAGTTTAACGACCCAAATGTACGTTCTCTGTTTCTTGTGATGCTTTAAGTTTATTCTCTTCCACGTAGTTTATTGGTAGTAGTCGTTTTTTTCTGTAAATAAAGTAGTATATTGAATTCTGGTTTTCCACCAATGCTAGTGTGCTACTCTATTTCCCTAATTATCACATAAAAGTTATTATTTTTGCGGAAATTCACTTTTTAAACAAAGTATCCAATTGCTTTTTTCTTTTATGCTGTCTTCTTCAATCTAGTCTTTGAGTTCGTATATTAAACGGAAGCCATACAGTTCCTATTCTCAAATACAGCCTCTCATGTTGCCAATGAGATTACTGCCTCGGGGTTACTGAATCAGCTCTCTTTGTCACCGTTTTTACTTTTGATGACGAGATGTCCAACTATTGGCTCTTTTCACCTGGGAAGCTCTACTATTAACACTGGATTGTTTGGCAGGCCTATTGTGCAGTTTTCTTCATTTGTCAAATTTACTTCTACCCAATGTTTGTCGTTTGGCGGACTAGTCGGTTGGAAGCTCGTTTTTCTTTACCTTCCGCGAGATTTACCTTAAGCGATGTCCATTTTTCGAATCTTGTCGATGAAGATGGTTGAAAGCCCAAAGTGTTTGTTCCCATTTATTTTTTTTCATAACCGATGCCGAAGTTTTCTAGTGAACGAGTGAAGTGGTGCTCCTGCTATTCAGTTATCCTGGACTATTTTCGTATGGCACTGGTTTTTACTAATGTTATTAATTTTCTTAGATTCTACACAAAAGCTATTGTTTTTGGAAGAACTATTTTTAAAAGGTGGGATCTCCTTTATTACCGTAAGCCTACGAAGGGTAGAGGCCAATCCAGCCGCAGATTCTTGATAGGGCATTGGGGTTTCTGCATTTCGCATTCACCTCTCAATGTAAGGTCGCGTCGTCTTAGAAGAAATTTTTGTGATTAGAGCTCTTAAAAAAGTTCTTACTTCATATTTCAGTGATTTGCTACTTAGCTTAACTGCTCAGGGACTTCAGTCTCTGCAGAAAGTACTTCGCTCTGAGGAATGGCCTTTGGGCCGTGCTAATGACCTAGTTCCCCTGTACATTAGCAGGTGGTATATCCTTCCATACTGCTTTGCTTCATTACGACTCTGGGACGCTACACATAACCTTCTTATCAATGCTGCGTCATTCACCTCTCTCCCCCTCTCGAATACCGTTTGCGTATTCCGATAGATCCAGATAAATTGCTTTTTTCATCTTAGCTAATGTAAAAACATACCTTAAAATTAAACGGGTGCTGAAAACAATCCCTTTGTGTCCCCGATTTTGTTTTTCCTGGAAGACTTCAGGACATCTGCATCTTTCATTTAGCGACGACTTGGATTGCTTCCAATCTCTCCATCGTGGTCATTGTGTTTTGCCTTCTGCATTATCTTTTACTCTTTACGTGACCACGATCGCATTGTCTAGGGGCGAAATGGATCCGCGTTTCCTTATGTTCGGTTGCAATTGTCGTTGTTCTTGATGAGCGTTACCACTTTTTAGCTGGAATGATTGTCTACTGAAAAATCCCACTTGACCTGTTTGGGTTGTCATCATTATCACGACTTAGCATAGTTCTTTGTTCCAGCCACAAAAATCCCTCCTTTTCATTCCTCGACCTGTTTTTTTACAATTTTTATGGTGGAATGAGCTCTTTTATCCTTGCTTAGGAAACTATTGCCTAGAGTTAGTTGCCCAAAGCTATTCTTGATGAAAAGGTGACACAAAGATCCAGTCACCTTTCGAATGTACGAGAGGTTTGTGCAGTTTCCCGCATAGCCTTTTCCCATGAATTGCAAATCATGAAGGGTTTTATGTCGTAGACTTGTGTCGCACCCTTTATTTGTTCTCCCCACCTTTTTTTCTGTCCTTTTGAACCTTCACGCTGCAAAAGGCCAGTTAAACTCGGCAAAAGTGACTCGGCTTTGTCTGCCTGACCTGATGTGTGTCATTTGGGTCCAAAATTGTGGATGCTTCCCGTCAAATTTGTTGCATAGCATTCGAAGATGTGGTATGGAGTGACAGAACTTTTTGCTTGGAAGTGAATGGTCTAACCAACTTGTCACTGGTGTTTTTATTACTTTTTGGCCAAGATTATTCAAGCTTAACTGGTCTAGAACATCTTGCCGTGAAAATGCAATTCTTTCCACCTACATCAACGAGAAAAGGCCCTGATATTGTAGTTAACCTTACATGTAAAAAGATCTACACCTTGAGAAGGAAGAGAGGAATGCTCCCCCTTCCTCATCCCCCGTTTTCTCTCGACAGTATACCTTGACGTCTTTTTAAATTGTTTCATGAGTGCTTAGGACCCTTTAAGAGTCTTGTTTTTTTCGGTATTCTTGCTTCTGAATTTGTTTTTCTTATCAGTATAGGATCAGAAAATTAGCGATCTTATTCCGCCTAGCATCATGTCCTCTTGTGGATTCTTCTTTCTGTGCTGATTCAGCTGAAGAGACAGCTACCCTCTTATTCTTTGACTTAAGCATACAAGTGCTTACTTTTTAATAAAAAAGATAATGATAAGTAGGTCTTGTGCGTCTCATTTCTAATCGTTTTTTTTTATTGTCCAATTCCGTACATGAGTCCTTGATGTGGAGTATTTTCTTCCATAATGTTTTGGTTTCAGATTAGGGCATACCAACTTTGCCCCACCTTTCGTTGATTCTTACCGCCCCCCCCCACACCCACTTAAACCCCTTTTTTTAAGAGATGATCTCCTAGGTCTCAACCAGAACTGACACTTGTCACAACTCCTCTATCCATCCCATAGTCCCCAGAGTTGGTCTTCATGTTGAGCAGCAAGGCGGGTGGTTGTGGCCTAAATCTCATCGGTGCGAATCGCCTGGTAATGTTTGATCCTGATTGGAATCCAGCCAACGACGAGCAAGCCATGGCACGTGTGTGGCGTGATGGACAGAAGAAGCAGTGCTACATCTACCGCCTCATTTCGGTACGTTGAACATGCCAACCGCAATGTCCTTTTAGACGGGCACAATAGAGGAGAAGATGCTTCAAAGGCAGGCGCACAAGAAGGCACTGAGCAGTTGTGTGGTGGATCAAATGGAAGAGGTGGAGCGACATTTCAGTCTGGGTGAGCTGAGGGAACTCTTCACCTATTACTCAGAGACTGATTCTGACACGCATGACAGGTGAGTCATAAAGGGATGTAAATCCTCCTCTGTTCTCCCCCTCCTTCATTACCTTTCAAGTTAAATGCAGATTTTCAGCTTAATTGGCAAAAACTGGTTCTGCGACTACATTTGTGCCTTGCACAATTTTACGACAGGTTAGACTGGGTGTCAATTAGGCACTTGGAATTAGGAACTCTGCCCGCCCAATAAGGGTTCCCACCCAGTACCACTGTGCAAGTGGGCTGCTAACCACCATTTGCGCGACCGCTACTGACAGGATACCTCACACTGCCTGATCCACGCCTACACCACTCCAATGGTATCGTTGCATCATAATTCCCGTTATAGGTGTAAAACCAGTGTTTCTGTATAGACTTGACTGTTCTTCGTGTTTGATGAGGTCTTACCTAACGCACGCTTGTTGCCTCGCCTCTGCAGGTTCAAATGTCGGCGATGCGTGAATCGAGTGCAAACACGGGGTCCGCCACCCGAAGCGGATTGTAATTGCGATTTGTCGGTGTGGAATCACTGCTACCACCGCAAAGCTCTCGAGGACTACGTGCTAAAGGGAACATGGGACACTGGAATGATCAGTTTCGTCTTCTGGCAGCGGTCTCATGAAGAACAGCGCAAGACTGTCTAAATTCTCCCACCCTCTCTATTCCTGCTCACTAAATCCCCTTTTCCAAGCTGTGATTATGTCTCGACGATTCTATGTGGTTCTTTGGTTTTTATATTGGTAAATTAAAATTTCGCACTCCCTTATTTGTGCTCCTTCGGAATTCCTAGAGAAATAGAAATTTTAAACGGATTCTTTGGGATGGTGGCCGGTCTGCTTGGTGGTCAGGATGTGTGGGCTGGGGCAGTCCGCTGTTACGTTCTGGATGGGGCATTGCCGACTGTGATATCGATGAGCGAGTGACGAACGCATTTGCCCCCGCCTGGAGAACCGCCCTGTGCAGCTAACCTAAGTTGCCGAATGATTTTGCAGCCTGAAACCTGGGTCCGTAAAGCTCGAATTCAGATTGTGCTCCTGCTCCGCCGTCTAGACATCCGGTCCTACTTGTAGCCGCCTAGCGCTTCCCCTATTCTAGTACGGCCGATTGCAATGGCAGGAGAGACTCCACATGGTGTACATTGCTAGTAAAAGTAGAGCAAAAAAGCACGCTCAGTTCGTAATCTTGTCTACATTCTTTAGCACCCGAACGGTTGAATGTGAATTGTGCGTAAGGACGCCAATTTTATTCTAGGAAGTGTGTGTAAGAACCATGTATAATAGTTTAAATAAGATTTTAATGAATTTTGTTTGATTTTTTTCCTAAAGGCTTACTTAAAACTACTGGGAGAGAGCAGTTTGTTTGGTTTTAATAGAGCAAATGCGCCAGCGTTTGTAAATATTTTAAGTCATGTTAATTTCAAAATACTAAAATAATTTAATGGTAAGGTGTGCCACACGTCTATTTGTGCAGATAGATTTACGCATGGTCAATATGAATATTTTTAATGCTTCACGAACCGTCCCCAATATGACCTATACCTCCCCCCTGGATATAAAATTGTATACTCGGACCTAGATACGCGATTTGATAAATGTCGATATTTTATAGCTATAAAATACAAAATATAGGTGGTCCTGTCACATGTATTGCATGGCATATTTCCGAATCCTTATTGGCTGTTGCAAGCAGTTTAAGACCCGGTATTTCTGGGTTATTAATATCGAATAAAAATGTAACTCACATTTCTCATTCATAGCTAGAATTACAATATTAATACAAAGTTATCATACGACAAGGACATATGTCTTCTTTCCTGGCATCCAGTCGAACCAAAACTTGCTATAGGATGGAAAAGAGATGGCATATCTATTCTCGATACCAATACTTATGCAACAACAAGTATCGATAATGTAGCATACAGCATATCAACTATTGTTTGGTCAACGCATGGTTATATATTGTTTGGAGCTAGTGCCTGTGGTCAATTAAGTCTATGGATTCATGCGTCCATGACGCCAGAGCCACAACGGATTCACTTATCTTCCACCGAAAAGCAAATTTCGTCGGTTGAATTGATTGAAAAAACCAGGTTTGATAGGTCAAAATACTGTTATTTTGTAGTGCAAAAGATGGATCCCCAAGCCTATTAAGTAGCCATCCTCGAAATTCTGTGCCAACGAGACGGTCTCTTGATTCAGCTATTTTTCTTGGAGGATGCTGTGATGGTATAATTTGAAGAAAAGCAAAGGTTTAAATTTTACATTTAGGTCGCATCATTCGTGTTGCCGGGGAAGTTGCTCTAATGGGACATAATCTCGAAACAACAACTGAACGTCTCTCAGTATTGGCGCAATGCAACGCTCCTGTTGTAAAAATTCTAGCAAACTACAAGCATAGAATTCTTCTTGTGATAACTGAGGAAAATATGCTAATAGAATACAGATTTAATGACGAATACTGCCGTGATGTAGCAGAACTACTTACGGTCAGTTAGTGGAGTACACGTGCCCGTTGAATTTTTAACTGAAGTAAATTTATTTCTTCATTTTTTACTAAATTTACATCGACACATGTTGGAATTTCGCTGATTCTTTTGCATGTAAATCCGAATAACTCCTCTTGAGTTAATAGTTACCTTTTTATATTTCCTACGTTTTAGCTCAAACTAGCCTCCCAACTGAATGATCGCCCGTGCTTTGTTTGGGCTGGTGAAATGATCCTCGCAATGGCACTTGGTGAAAGCGTGATCCGGGTGTGGGACATTACAAAATCGGATAATTATGCACTATCACCACATCCTAACAGTGATTTACGTCAAAGAAGTTCCATTGTAATAGAGAGACTGGCATATTGCCCCAAACACAGTAGGTTTGAAAACCCCATTCAGCTATCGTCATTGTCCTCCAGAGCTTCTAGCAGCCGGTATGAGTGACGGACGAATCGCGATATGGAAATACACGGATACAAGGCCTCTGCTAAGCACATCCACTGTTGGAATTGACCAGTATGGACACTTTCCTAAGGTGATCGAGTCAGTATCTGGCAACTTTGAGCCGGAGTCCTGTTGGCTTCCCCAACCAATCGTCGACTTGTTCATGAATCACGCAGAAGAACATCTTCGAGATTCCTGCACAAACACGTCTATCGGTGTACTTGTCTGGGATTCTACAACGGGCGTGTTGGCCGCTAGTTATGGCTCTTCTACTGACCCGGCCACTGGTGAGTTTATCTTATATTATCCCGTCAAAAGTATTTGAATATACTACTAATTCACTTGTAGAATAGTAGTGCTTTAAATGACCAAAAGTGCTTTCTGGATTTCATCTGTAAAAAAGTGGAAAAAGGAAAAAAATATTCAGTCGATTCGGATGCTTGAGATGTTATCGTCTCATAGCCCTTAACTGCAAGTGTTCAATGGCCGAGACGGGCTAAATAAAAAGCAAAAGTGGCATATTTATTCGAAAATTTAAAAGCAAAGACAGCTTCAGAACTGTACTTTTCAAAGCTCTTTTGAGTATAATATCGTACAGATGTTAATTGGCTCACTAAAAAAGTTGGATGGTATCCCAACTGCTCTTTCGTTGTTAGTTCACGGACTCAGCCGTCTAGTCAGCGAACGCGATGGTGATCATTTGGACCTCAAGTCTAGTTCCCTAACTTATTCCTAAAGTTACTTCAAAACACATAATCATAGAAGAATGGTAGTTTGCTGGTGTACACAAGGCTCTAGAGGTCACGAGGATGGGCTAGCTGCCGAGGTTCGCTAATTGGGAAAGGGAAATAAGGCATGTGATACCGCGCCGGAAGTTCAACTGCAGGAACAAAGACATTTCTTCTCCAAAAGGTCACACGGTGTCCATATGCATGTATTTGTGATAATTCTACGCCACTAGAAAACCTCGAAGAGGAGGAGAACAAGGCGTCGATCTATTCAGCCTTCATTCTACGCCAACAGCCTCTATGCGCCAACATTGGCGGTGGAGGTAGTGCCGTGGTCCAGGTCTCCTCCCAGCGTCTTGCTGTAATTTCATCAAACCCCACTCACTTTGTCAAATCGGAGGCTCCAGATCTTGCCTCTATTCGAACTGCACTGTCCTCCAATGCGACGACATCTTCAAGTTTTGCAAAGTCCATCGAGTTCACTGAAAGTGTGGCTTGTGTAGAGGAACAACTGCGAAGTGCATTTTGTACACAGGTGGGTGCCTAAATGGACTAATCAAAATTAAATCAAAGAATTGTCATTTAGTGATTTTCGGAACAATATCAATACAAACTAACTAATTTTAATAGGTAGCTGCTTCATTTGCAGTGGGATACTCCCCACACATATGTGTTTGTAAGAAGGGATTTGCCAGTAGGACTGAATTCACACCTCTTGACATCCAGCATGTGTCAACTCCTTAAAATTCTCAAACGTTCGTTAATAATTGTCCTTTTTTCATCACTTTGTCAGACGGCGTCAGTCAGGCATTCGGAATCAGGAATTTTCCCCACTTAATAATGATTCACAAGACTTACCACTGCGCAGGTGGGCTGCGAATCATCATTTGCCGGCTACCCTACACTGTCCGACAGAACGTCTACACCACTTAAATGTCACATAGTTGAATGGCTTAAGGTCTTCCGTAGATGGAGATATTCACGGTAATGAACAGCTTCTTTCACAATAAACTTCCGTCATCCCCACATGATGCTGTTCACATGCACTACCACAGATCTCTGCCATCGTGAGAAACGGTGTCTAATTGGATCTGTTCCATGCACGACGTATGCTAGCGCTGACTACTTTATGGAACACTACCAGAGCGGAAAGGCTATTCATAGGTGTAAAATCGGTAGTCCCGGTTGTACTTGAAGGTCTGCGTATAATTTTAATATGTGTATTTTATGCATAACTGTTCACTAACCTTGGGTGCTTCCTGCTGTTGGTCTTCCATGTCGACCAACACAATGTCAACTTCCACTGTAAATGACTTGTCATTGCATCGTTCACAAACCTGTTTTTGCCTTTCTAGTTTTATTGCTGGGCTGTCCTTTGAGTTTGTGCTTGGTGGGTAATGTTAAATACTAAACTAATTTTTTCCTAACAGATTAACCTTCTTTCAAAATGCAAAATTTATGTAAATTAGCCACATACCATGTAATGTGGCTCCTCCTCCTTGATTGTCATTTCAATGCTGTCATGGCATTTATACAAATGCTGCTCAAGTTCTTGCGCTTTGACTC